TTTTATATTTAGAAGCATTCTTTGGAGAGAGAAGAGGGTTAATATTTCTTGGAGGTTTTTTAGAAGTTCATTAATAACATTTGAGCACTTCTTTGGGCTATTAGTTGTTTTCCATTATTATCTTCTGGATGCTTGTTTCAGTGAATTCATTAATGTAGAGGTTTTATGTACGTTAATTTGTAGGAAATTGTTGAGAGAATAATTATTTACTTAAAAGACAGACCGAAGAAATCTGCAGAGAAAAGGCATGAATACAGACGAGATTTGAAGTCATTTTTCATCATCATCCAGATACTGTATAAAAATTGGAAAAATCACCAGATTGCCGGTACATTATCTAAATTTCAGTTATAAATAGTTGGCTCAAATAAAGTACAAAAATAAATCACGATGCGAAAATCACTATCGATGAACGTAATTAATAGATACTTTACGCGAAAGTGTTTTACATTTACCATAGATGGAGATGTTGCGGAATTAGCCTATGACTGTACTATTTGAAAAATCCATGGGAATTTGAAAAATCAAATATACACAATATGAAATTCAAAATGACATGCATATAACACGATACGATGGTACATATACAAAATCCCATTCTAACACGTGTTTTATATTCTCTCGATTGATCATATCGTACTATTTTGTTAACAAGTGTATTAGGTTATAATGTATCAATCACAATGTAATACGTAACTGTTAATTTGCCTATTAATTGCGGTAGGGCCAAGTTTTTTATCCTTTGAATGATTCACGGATTTTAAGTGATTTTTTAAACAGTGGAACGAATTGCAATTGATCTAGTAAGTTTCGTAATTAGGTGTCTCTATGTGTTGGAGTACGATCGTAAATAATACAAGACAAGTTTTATAACTAATCACGTATTTAATACATACTAGAATACATATATTGTGTTTGTAGGATGACTATAATTATTTATGAGCACGTGCACAGACTTATGATACATACTGGCATTGTATCTTATAGATTTTTCTGTCTCAGTTTTGGGAGGCACTACAGCTCCCTTACTATTTCGGTGTTACGAACCGAAGGCCAGGCGGAGGTTGGATGCGATTTAGGAATTTTAATAAGAGAATTGCGTGGACTTGCCGAAGCTTCTTTCATCAACGGTTCACCACTAGGTTTAGAGGAAATTGCGTGGACTAGCCGAAGCTTCTTTCATCAACAGTTCGACACTAGGTTTAAAGGATATTTCGTGGACTAGCCGATGCTTCTTTCATCACCGGATCGTCACTAGAAGGTAGGTTGGTAGAAATTAGAGTTTAGGGTCTTGTAACTTTTACAAAAGAGAAATAAAGATACATCTCGAGTAGTAAAAATGTATCTCTGTAGGTTATACCAACTACTCCTTCTAATCAGCAAATGGAATAATTGAATTTGACAACTTAATAAACTGGTAAAAGATAGTACATTACAAGCTTTCAGTTTAATACAATTGTATGTGTATAAGTGTATCGTAGATAGTAGATCGTGCTCCCAGTTTGTCGCACGGGAGCTTATAACCTTGTAACAATGTACGTACTCGGTTGAAATGCTTGAACGAGAATCAGATTCAATCTCGCTAGCGTTTCTTCGTCAGTAACAAAATTTTTCCTCGGTTCCAGAAGGTTCGTCTTCGTACCCTTCCGAAGGTACTTGACTCACAATATACAGAGCGAAGCCCGCCGGCTGGAGCCAGCCTGGCAAACGCCTTCAGGAAGGAGTAAGAAAAACACGTCAGAAAATGTGTCGCACTCAGCCGCCTTACCGATAATTCAAGAATTTAGGCCCGTTAGAAAGAAGCGACTATCTTATATATTTCATTACTGTTAGGAAGCGGGAGTTGTTGCCCTGACGAGAGGGTGGATCAACACTACGAATTAATTCGTGTAGAAATTCGGTCGATCGTTGCAGACAAGTTGTCTGAGACTTTATTGCGAGAAAAACAATGAATACGTCCAATGATCGCTGGGATCGAACAAGTAGTATGTGATATGTACAGAAATGAGAGCGAAGTATACAATGGTTATGTCACTTACCGCGTGAGACAACTACATAAAACTATCGCGTGGAAATTATGTATAATAGGATTGCCTAGGGATTTTGCCTCGAAAATCCCGTTCGTTCCTCAGCTCTGCTCGGTAGGATGAAGCTGCTAGTTTGCGAGAGAACTGGCAGTTCTAGATATATGACGAGGGCCTTGAGACAAAATAGCGAAAACCGAGGGTAAAAATGTTGAATTTGTGAAGAGTGATGCTCTGAACTTACTGCACGAAAAATCGCATCTAAGCTGGTAACTCTCTCGAAATCGACTAATTAGCCTAATTGCTGCTGCGAGCAGCTCGCATTTCGCTCGTTACGGCGCGCAGGGTGGAGGTTGGGGAGTGCTGTCTCTAACAATTATGTACTACTACGAATGCAGAATATTATATAGAGGCAATAACTGTGTTCGGTACGGACGTTTAAATTGTGGAAATAGTATTTATAAAACATCTACGAGGGAAATATAATGTAAAGTGTTATTATTTGTACGGGCAGTTAAGCTATTATTTTTAATAATTATAAAGTTCGAAATAGTATACAGGAGAATTTGTAGGGTTTACAATGTTACAAGCCGGGGGCTAAGGCAGTTACGCATGATCGAGGATTCGTTTTGTTGAGAGAATGTAAGAGTTTTGTTAATTATGGACGAGCCAAAGTTTGTTTCACTGTCGAGACCCACGAGAGGAGTAAAGGTAAGATTTGCAGACGAGCTGACGTTTGTTTCACCGTCGGGACCTAGAAGGTGTTTTAAGATATAAGGATTATTGGTTAACCTCGTAACTTATTAACTTAGTCACCTCGAGCGGGAAAAGTGCACCGTGGTGGATTTGATACTAGTAACCTGGAATACAGAAAAAGGATGTGAATTGAATGAATCGAACTCTTAAGTATCTATACAAATGTATATAGGTATGTGGCGGTCCACTGTGTGTGTGCGACAGGAACGTTGCCACATTGAATAAACAAGAGACACAGGTGAGCGACCAGGGCACACGACAAGACCTGCATTT